GTCGGTTCGCGAAGAAAGGTCCCAAAAGAGTTCGAATTAAAAGAACATATGTCTCAACTGAGCATACAGTACCCGCATCGTTATTCTTTACAGGATACACGATACGATAGGATACACGCACGATACGATAGGATAAACGCACGATACGATAGGATACACGCACGAAAGGACAGGATACACGCACGATAGGAGAAACGCAAAACACGATAAACGAAAAACACGATAGACCTGATAAACGATCTTCACGATAGGATAAACGCAAAACCTGATAGGATTGTTTCAAAATGCGAAACGTTTTTTGACAAGACGAAAAGTTTTCTTTTTGATATACTATAGTACGAGAATTTTAATTACTTACAAAGCCGCAAATCGAAATAATAAAACATTTTAAATTTATCATGATAAAACATTTGAAGTAATTATGCTTTGTAAAAGATATAGTGTTTTTGTCAATAAAATTGATCGTCATCAAATTTAAACTGTAATTATTTTAAGAATAATTCCACTGTATGATGGAAATTAGGCGATTTTATTGTGTAATTATCCAAATGTGGAAATTCCTTCGAATCGTTAAATTTGAATTTCGAGTCCGTAGACAAGCGAAGTTTTACACCCAAATGCAATAAATTCACGAAACGCTATAAATGTATTCATTATTTTAACAAATAAAACCTCATGAAATTCATAACAAACATTGATTATTTTTACGGAAAAACATGTAAAAAAAAAAAAATGAAATATTTGGATTCAATATCTTTTGCTAGAAGTCTGCGAGGTATCCAAAAACGCCTTTAATAGTTTGTATTTAATAATTCAAATCTTACCAAAAAAAAAAAATAAATAAATAAATACTAGTCATAATTTAGGGGGGAGATTAAAAAATTTATTGTTATAATAATTTAAGGTTAATGCTTTCTCCTCCAAGTTTTTACGAATTTGATTTATATTTTATATAAATTAATTATTTTTTTTTACGTTTTAAAATTGCTGAAATTGCTAGTTGCATTGAGACAGACCGTGCACTGGATTGTGAATAATTAATCTCTCCTATATATAAATATGTATGTCACACATATCCCGTACACATAGAAATTATTTACATGTTCCAAGTACATTCCAAGTACATACATTGTATATGTATATATGAGGAAGGAGACCTGCGAAAAAAAAATCGAATTTAATAAAATTAATAAACGTCACTAGATCTGTCATCATCTATTATTCGAAAAAATATCGCATTTCCATTCTTTTGTATTTATTTTGGTATTTTTATAGGCCTGTAAGATTAAGCTAGAAGGGAGCATGCAGTCGTATAAATAAAAAAAAAATGTTACAGTGTACCAGCATGTGTAGTATACAGTAGTAATATAATGCTTATATAATATTGCCCATCGACAATAATAATGTCTTTAGCCATTTTTGTTTGCTTTTCAAAACATTTCTTTTTAGACCCCACCCACCACCCCCTACCCCAAACAGAAAAAAAGTACTTGCATAAAAAAATCTTGAAAGAAAAAAAGCGTCAGCCAAATGTTATGATTACAAAATACAATCCATATATTAAGGGTTTAAAAAAACGCATTCTCAAACACTGGAACATCTTGCAAACAGACACAATTTGCAAAGAGATATTTATCGATGAACCAATAATCGCCTACAGTAAACACAAAAACATAGGCGAAATAATAATCAAGTCACGCTTACAATAGCTTAAGACACGTAAAAAAGGTGGGCTCCTGATGATGGCGGGCCTTAAGAGCAAAAATATCATATTTCTCTTTAAAAACCACCGAAACACTCTATGCTTCCATAATATCATTTTTATTAAATAACTCATAAGTGGTCTAGAGTGTCGGGCCCTAGTAAATTTACAACAAGCTTGGTTGATTGATGTCTTTTTTCAAAACCAAGTTGGCAGTGACTTTACATTATTTCCCATTATGACGGCATATTTTGGTAGTTCAGAGAAGTGAAGGCACAGAGTGCACTGTGATTTTCTACGGGAAGCCTTAACCTACCTGCGTAACGTTAAAGGTTCCTGCCAAAAAAAAGAGAAGTATTTTAATAAAAACTTAATAACTGAGTATGGCATTGATATATGGCTTTTCTTAACAAGAGGCCCAAGGGCCTTAACGGTCACCTGAGTATAATACAATTTAGAGGATCCATAGAGTATAAAATGAACTGAAAGGTGAAGCTTTGTTGCCCAAAAGCAAGAAAAATAGGGTGATCAGGATCAACAAAATAATTAGTCTAGTATTCAATAACAGTTCATAAATTAGGTTCTAATCTGTTCCCCGTTTATCACTATCACCATACAGTATATTAACAAACTATCAGTGCTTCTGTACCATTTTAATTCCTTGTTGACATCTCTTGGTCTTTGATGAACATTTAAAAAGCCAATTTATTTTTGTCTCATTTTTATTTATCTATTACTTACAAGTCTACCTGATCATTAAAACTGAAAGTACATTTTGTATTATACAATAAAAATTCTTGCATAATTCGCTTATTCTATTAACCTTTCAAGTACATTATTTACAGTGATTAATTATCAAAAGTAAATGGCAAAGGGGAATAACTCCTCTGATTAGAATACAAATTAATAGAGCCCTGGGCAGGACCAGAACACTTGACCAAATGGTCCAGATATTCAAAAATCTGGTAAAAATACTATTCCTTATTAAAACTTTTACTCTTTTTGCCACTGATATGCCCAGGTGCAGAGAAGATTTTTAAAGAAATAATGCATTTTTATTACAGATTCACTATATTATCAATAGAGCCCCCCCCCCCCCTCCACAGCAAGAAACATTAGAGCCTCTCACCCTGGGACCAGAAGTTTGCTCATCATAAGTAATCACTTTGTTTATCTGCTTAACACTAAGAGCAGACAGGATTATTTAATAGAATTAATGCATTTTCACTATATCATCAAGAGCCCCACCCTTACACCAGCACGTCAGACCCAGCGATCACGCAATTCACTACTCTGGAAGAAGCACTCTTCCTCATCATAACTACACACTTAGCTTCTTTGCTTTTTAACCAGGAGCAAAAAAGAATATTTTCAAAGAAATTTTGCTTTTCACTATATAATCAATAGAGCCCCCCCCCCCCTTTTCACCAGAACCCTTAACCCTGGGGCCATGAAATTCAAAATTTTGGAAGAGGCATCCTTGCGTATTATAACAATGTATTTAATTTGTTTAAATAATACCCAGGGGCAGAGAAGAAGATTTTCAAAGAAATAATTCACCTTCACTATAGGATCTATGTAGCCCCACCCTAACACCAGAACCGCTGATCTTGAGCCATGAATTTCACAATTTTGGAAGAGGCATCCTTGCTTATCATAACAATGTACTTAGTTTGTTTAAATAATACCCAGGAGTAGAGAAGAAGATTTTCAAAGAAATAATGCACTTTCACTATATGATCTATATAGCTCCGCCCTAACACCAGAATCCCTGATCCAAGGGCCATGAAATTCATAATTTTGGAAGAGGCATCCTTGCTTATCATAACTATGTATTTAATTTGTTTAAATAATACTCAGGAGCAGAGAAGAAGATTTTAAAGCATAAATGCACTTTCACTATAAGATCTATATAGCCCCGCCCGAGCACTAGAACCCCTGACCCTGGGGCCATGATTTTCACAATTTTGGTAGAGTCACTCTTGCTTATCATAACTATGTATTTAATTTGTTTAAATAATTCCCAGGAGTAGAGAAGAAGATTTTCAAAGAAATAATGCACTTTCACTATATGATCTATATAGCCCCACCCTAGCACCAGAACCCTTGACCCTGGGGTATGAATTTCACAATTTAAGTAGAGTCACTCTTGCTTATCATAACTATGTATCTAATTTGTTTAAATAATACCCAGGAGTAGAGAAGAAGATTTTCAAAGAAATAATGCACTTTCACTATATGATCTATATAGCCCCACCCTAACACCAGAACCCTTGACCCTGGGGCCATGAATTTCACAATTTTGGAAGAGGCATCCTTGCTTATCATAACTATGTATGCAATTTGTTTCAATAACACCCAAGAGTAGAGAAGAAGATTTTCAAAGAAATAATGCACTTTCACTATATGATCTATATAGCCCCGCCCTAGCACCAGAACCCCTGACCCTGGGGCCATGAATTTCACAATTTTGGTAGAGGGCTCAATGCTTATTACAATCATGCCAACAATTTGACTGCTTGATGTCCTGGAGTAAAGAAGAAGATTTTTAAAGATTGCATAAATTTTGGTAGTTTTAGCCCCACCCCTCAGGCCCCAGGGGGGCAGGGACCATGAAATTCACAATTTTTGTTCCCCTTCACCCATAGATGCTATATACCAAATTTGGTTGAAATTGGTTGAGCGGTTCTAAAAAAGAAGTTAAAAATGTTCAAAAGTTAACGCACGACGGACGACGCACGCCGACGGACGAAAACGGATAGCAATAGGTCACCTGAGTGACTCAGGTGTCCTAAAAATACCAATAAATTTTTCTCACCTTCCTATTAAATGACTGTCCGTTATAGTTCATTTATTTCGTTATTTCGTCTTTTTTTTTTGTGTTTTTTTTTTTTTTTTTTTTTTTTTACAAATGAATTTCAGTCTAACCCCCTCCCCCTAGTTTGAACGATTATTTAAGAAATAAAGTATCATTTTTAAACATCTATCGAGATATAAATACGGGTTGGTCACGAGATCAAAGGGCTTTATGGTAAATTTGATCTCGTACCAACCCGTATTTATAGCCCGATAGATGTTTTAAAATGATACCTTATTACTTATATTTACATTTGGGATTTATTCATATTTTATATTTGCCTGATTATAATCTTTAACGCGTGAAACGTTTTATTTTTCAAACACAACGGCACGTGTTTGATCCACTGAATTGTGCGTCGACCCTTAATGACGTATTTGAGAAATTAACGTCGAACGTTTATGACGCGAGGAACCCGTGTTTATACGGATATAGATAGATAGTTTTCACTCCCTTTGTTTACATACGGGTATTTACGGCTGTCCGCCATTTTGTGGGTCAAGACTGACGCGTGAAAAAGAGAATCATATGTTCTGTTTATAAATAACAGTGACGCTATGACCTCCATAACCAAAACGAAAGAAAAAACTGGAAAGTTAAAGTACACAGACTCATTAGATAACGTTTCAAGAGAAAAATATAACGAAAAACTTAAATTAATCGACGGGAAAGATCCATACGAGGACGTTTCTAACAAAGAGTGGTCGAGGGAGAGGGACAGTTTTCCAGATATAACGTATCCTGACATAGTAAACTATTTGGTTTATGGCAAAAGTGCTTATACGTTTGAAGACTTGAAGGCGTACAAATCATCGGAGGCTTACAACCAGTTTGTCTGCGGCTGGGTTACGGATGTTTGCCATTCAGTAATCAACAGTAAACATCTACTGCTGGCCAAAGTAGGCTACAGTACACGTTTTTTTTTATTACTTCTTGTATTTATATGTTTATTTATATTATAAGTAAAAGTTAATCTATTAAACACCGAGTAGGCTAGAAATCTTTAGAAAAAAATAACGAAGAATGTATATGGACATATCATTTGTAGTAGACTAGATTTAGAATGTTTTTGAAAGAAAAAAATGGAAAATGTATGATGCATGTCCAAGCAACAACTGTAAACTAACTGTAACTAGCTACTGTATAATGTATATGACCTTGCTATGGTTTTCTTATATGTAATTTTTAAAAATTAAAAATGCAATATATTTATTGTGAAGTTAGTTATTTTATATTACCTTTACTGAGCAATGAAATGTCTAAAATTTATACAAAAATATTTATAATATACATAAATATCTTCTTATTAGGTTTGTCATTCACAGAGAATGAATGACCCCCCTCTGAAACCATGGGTGATAGCAGAGAAATGTGGAACCATAGAAACTGCACATTGTAACTGCATGATTGGACTTGGAGAGGCCTGTAGTCATGTTGGTGCCCTACTATTTTATATCGAAGCAGCAGTGAAAATCAAAAACTCAAAGACTGTGACAGAAGAACCGGCATATTGGAAACTCCCATCCGGCTTGCAGAAAGTACAGTATAAACCTATTAAAGACATAAACTTTCAGTCAGCAAAGGCAATGAAGAAAACTCTGGAGGACAACATAACTCCTGGAAACACCCCTAGACGAGCAGGAGGGATGATGGTTCCAGATGTTCCACCACCTACTGAAGGCCAAATCTCTACATTTCTTTTGAAACTCCACAGCAATAACACTAAACCAGTCATTCTAACTGTGAAGGAGGAATTCTCAAATGCATATGTACCAAAGTGCACTGAAGAAGCCTTTCCAACTCTACTTTCAGAACTGTATAGTGAGGAATGTGAGACACTATCGAAGGACGAGTGTTTGGCCAAATGTGAGGATATATTTGCATCCTTGTGTATGACAGAGGAGCAGTGCAAGTTTACTGAAGAAGAAACAAGAGATCAGTCTAGCAACAAAACATGGCATCATATACGAACAGGGAGGGTTACAGCTTCTCGAATGAAGAGTTTGTATGTTACATCCATAGAAAATCCATCAAAGAGGTTGGTAAATGCCATCTGCCACCCAACCACAACAAAATTCTCCACAAATGCAACTCGCTGGGGGTGTAAACATGAGGAAACAGCTCGGGAAAAGTACAGGAAGGAGCAGGAAAAAAAACATCATAATTTTAAATGTGAAAAAAGTGGACTTGTATTAAATCCAAACTTTTTTGTCTGCAAGAAAGAGTATTGTGATTTCGTCACATGGACCCAAGGAGATATGACTGTGGAACGCATAGAACCTGATGAAGACTTTTGGGAAGAAGTTGTTTCTAAGGCCACCTCTTTTTCAAGACTGTTATTCTTCCAGAGTTGGTGGGAAAGGTGTTTAGTAAGTCACGTGAAAAACAATTAAGACCTTAAGTGTGGATGACAACAATGATGAAACTGAGGATTCAGAGGTCATTTGTGTGTGCCAGAAAGTATATAATGCATCAGAGGATGATGTTATAGGGTGTGATGATGAAAACTGTAAATATCGCTGGTTCCATTCCAAGTGTGTCAAGATCAAACGTCCCCCTAAAGGCTCGTGGTACTGCAAGGAATGCAGAGAGAAAAATCAAATCAAGCCAAAACAGAAATGCCCTAAAGTGAAGGACTAACTTCCTGGATAAGAGCAAGACGGACACACCTGCTCCTATCTATATGTATGGACTATTGTGTTCTAATTTATGGATTTCAATTTTGAAATGAATTTTACAGTTGGTTGGTTATACATGTATATCATCAATTTGAAAACAAAATAGATCCAGCCTGGTCTGTGTGAATATTGATTCGTCAACTGCTTTTTTTTTTAATTTATGAATATGAAAACAACAGAACCTGTCTGATTTATTTGTGTTCAATGTTTAATATCTATATGAAATATAATTCTGAATTTCATTTTTGTGTTTGTTTATTATCAAGAAACAAGAAAACCAGCCTGCAGCTTTTTTCACAAAAAATCTTAAGACAAGGGTTAAAATTTGTCAACTCTGTTTAATTTTGTAATATTAATGATAATTTTGAAAATTTTCTGAAGGACTATTCACAATAAATTCATAGTTCAATGTTTTGTGACCTATTGTAGAAACTCTTTGAAGACAGAAAAAGTTCTGTATTAGTCGTAAGATGTTTTGTGAAAAGGTCCTCTGATCTGGTCTCAAAACCTCAAACCAAGAGCAGACTTCATTCAATTTTCAAATTAGTGTGACCTGAATCATTTAGAAAATAAAAAAATTTCCATCATGTATTTGTACATATACTGAGGTCTGTTCTCTATTCTTGGTCTTTGTGTATAAATTTAAGTACTGTTTTCTTTTAGTTGTTTATATCAACTGTAACGATATTTAATTATTTCATTATGTTTGTTATATTTGATTCCGTTGTTATATATTTAGATAGTCAGTTCTTTACATAACATTGCTCCTCGCGAGCAATACTAAATTATTATGTAATGGTCAAAACGCATTGCTCCTCGCGAGCAATGCCCCAATGTTATATATAGGGGGGATATTTTCAGACAGAGAGACTTGTAGTAGAGAAGTAAAGGAGTTGACAAATAGGATATACGTTTAACATATTATGGAAAATTTATGTGTTATTCTGTTGTGATTTTAATATTATTTGTAAATAGTGTAAATAAACTTTTAAACGAACTTCATCGTATTTTATTCCGAGGATTGAAAATTTAGAGTTATCCCTCTTTGAACGCAACGGCGACGTTACACAACTCAATCAGCTAAATATGGCCTTGGTTTCCTTCTGGAGAAAGATTCAAACTCATAGTATGGGCATAGGATACTCAAAAAGAAATGCATAAATTTGTCAATTTGAAACATTTTGTACAGACTTTCAAATTTCTAAAACACATCACATTTTTCTAAGCAAGTCATTTTGAGTATCTTGTGTCCTTACTAATGATTAAATTCATCATTTACCATGAATATTACCTAACACAACAAATTTCAATCACATTCAGGGAAATCAGGGAGATTTATTCCACATATAAAGAAATGCAAAAACAAACATTAATCATGTTAATGAATGGCATAAGTTCGTGTGTCCACAACATACAGTTACAGGTTTATCAACTACATTGGATTTATTCCACATCACTACAATGCAAAAACATACAGTGTACATTAGTTAAATAGAATTACAGATTGGCATAACTTTGTAAGTCCACAACATACAGTAACAATTTTGTCTACCACTGGAACCTGGTTTTCCTCAGAAGTCAACTGGCATAGTATCGGAAACTATCATATACTTATTTCGCAATAGTCCAATAACTCTCTCGACGTGGATACGGACATGGGTAATTTTACGAGTGTTCTCAATTTCTCTAGCAGAAAGTTGAGTTTTTCCCTTAGTAAAATTTGGGATTTTAACTTCAGCACACACAAGTCCCACACTCTCTTGAGAAACATGTTAAAAGTGTAGACAAGATGATTTAGTCATCATGTACATGCATGCACCTGTGCGTGCCTGCAATGCTTAAGTGACTAATATAAATGATATAGCCGTAACTTTTAATTTTTATACTTTTTGATGTAAAAACCACCCCACCCTGCAAACAAACTTTAAGGAGTATATAAGAATCACCTTCAAGTTGTCCGTCTGTCTGTGCAAACGTGTAATGTCCATATTTTTATTACGGAGGAACATTAGAATCTACTACTTCACAAAAAGATTGTTCATGGCCTGAGGGTTGTCATAACTTTGACCCAAGGTCATTTGGTCAAGTTCAAGATCACTGAAAGAAAAGGTTCATAATTTGTGCCATATATTTCTTATGGATAAACTTGGTGAGTTCCCATTTTTCACAAAGATTGCTTAGGATCTGAAAGTGTGTCATGACCTTGACCCAAGGTCATTTGTGCTCATAATTCATGGTCCATATCCTTCTTACGGAGGAACATTAGAAACTAATACTCCACACTAAGATTGTTCATGACCTGAGTATGTGTCATGACCTTGGGTGTGTCATGACCTTGACCCAAGCTCATTTGGACTAGTTCAAGGTCACTGAGAAAGTTCATAATCAGTGTCCTGCCTCTTTCTTTCTTATGGATAAACTTGGTGAGTTCCCATTTTACACAAAGGTTACTTGTGACCTGAGTGTGTGTCATGACTTTGACATAAGGTCAATTGTGCAAGTTCAAGGTCATTTACAGAGAAAGTTCATAATTTGTGTCCAGTCCATATCTTTTGTATTAATGTTTTAATGACTGCACCTTAGTTTTATTCATTAAAAAATATAATGAGTAATTATATTTTCACTTAAATGTTTCAGCAAATTGTGAACACCTCTTAGATCCATAAAATATTTGTGATTTTGCACCTTTTCTGAAAAACCCAGTGGAGGGTATTTGTCCCTTTTGGACAGTTCTGGTTTATATTTTAAATCTTATAAATAACATACATGAAGTTTATTTAAAAAACAAATTTGATTATTTTAGAATGGAGCCACCAAAATTCAGGAAAGGAGCTAGTGGAAGAATAGATATGACGGATTCCTTAAATGCTCTGAATGTTGAGTGCAGAAATCAGAGGAGGGGATATTGGGGTCCTGCAAAACCAGATAACCAAGTGAGAGCTATGGCCATCCGCACTGTCCGTCAGCAGAAAGGAGTTGTAAACATTGAAGTTGATGTGCTGGGGGAACATGAACTTCAGTTTGGTAAATTCCGAGGACATACTTTTAAGTGGGTATTAGAGAATGCCCTTGGATATGCTGGTTGGCTTATAATGAAAATGGATAGAGGCTGCAGCATCCAAGGAATCTAAAGCTCCACCCAAAGATGCACAAGCCATAAATAAAGAAAAGTTCCGGAAGTATGTTTTGCAGTTTGCAGAGGGAAGAGAAGCTGTGCGAATGAAACAGTCTACCCAACCAGCTTCCGAGCCTTGCTGTCCACTCCTGCACCTTCCACAAGATCTTCAAGTGCAACAGTTTCGGCAATGAAATCTCTTGCCCTAAGCCGGCATACATCACAAAGGGTTTTGCATGAGAGAGCCAGGAGGATAATGTCTCCAACACGTGTAAAACCTTGTAAGTATATTACGATTAGTAAATATATATTAATTTGTTTAATTCCTTGTATTCATAAAAAAGATTTCAGAAGCATTAATGCTTTTTTTTTGGCATTTATTATTATTCATCAGAATAATACAGTCATTCCTATTGGTTTAAAGCATGTCATTGGCATGGAGACAATTTTGTGATACCCTCCTTAAATGCAACTGTGTCATCTTCATTTTGACTAAAATTAAATTTCATATTCGAAATAATTTTGGTATAATTAATAATTATATATGCTGGATCAGTAAACAAATTTGTCAACATTATTCTGTAGTATGAAATAAAGCAATGGGTAGTAGAACATAAAGGGGGTTGACTTATGTTTAATACTTCAGTTATTAAATTTAGATTTTTTGGTATAATGAAGTTATTAAGGACTGTTTAGTATTGATAAAATGTAGCGGTAATAATCACCTGAAATTCTGAAGAGAAGTAGCGAAATGAGTTGAAATTTTTGCAATGTACCCCAGTCTGATCTGATAATTTGTTATATATCCCTACAAACCGCCCATAATTGTATTTTATTTTAGTAATTGTTTTAGATACTGATTATGTGAAAACATTGTTTTAGCAATACCAACCCAAATGAGTGATGAGGCTCTTTTGCAACATGTGCTGGAGCTAGAGAGATCCTCAACAGGTAAATGTCTTTGATTGTCACATATTTTATTATCGAGATTGCTTATGGAGTACCATCAAAACACTCTTTTTTTGTCCTCACATGAGCAGCCAGTTTTAGTATTGATCAGTGAACTGACAACAATGTGAGTTGCAGAGTTATGCTTTAGAACTTGAATGAATAATAAAACATAGGGAACTAAATATTTAAAGAAAAGGAAAAAAGAAAAAAATGGAAATCACTCTTAAATGATATGCATAAAAACATAGGTACAATTAAATTTAAAGATATAATTATAAAATCCTTATTCTTACAATGCAAAATATGCAAGAGTTATACCCCTTTTCACAGCATTTTATAAAAATCTAGGTTACATTTATGTTTGGATATATGTTCCCAGAAATATATTATTGAATTATTTGACATTGTTTTTTTTAATCATTAAGCATATTCTAAATCTACTTTTCAGTTCATAACATTTAAAAATGATTAACTCGTACATTTTTCAAAACATAAAATGTACTTTTTTTTAAATTTTGAGTTTCAATTAATAGCACCTTATAAGTGTACTTTACTGCTATTTCATAATAATCACTCGAAACTCTTGCACACTCAATCTTATAAATAGCAGGCTTTTAAAACATTTTTGTTAATGATAAAAAGTAAGACACTTGCATATTAGGCCATTGGATAAAAGTTTTTTTTCCCTATGTTTAGGATCCTTGCATCCTAAAATCAAAATCCTATCTTTTTAAACCAAGTTGGGGAAAACAACCTTACTTTGAAGAAAATGTACAATTTTTCATCATCATTTTGGGAATTTGCCAAACAAAGTAAAAAAAACAAAATACTAGTTCTTTAATTTTTTTTGTATCAATTTGGAAAATTTGATGTTAGTCCCAAAAGAGTAAATTGTG